TGATCTCACTTATTTCTACCACTCATTCTCTAGCTTTCTCAAGTATCTCGACTCCGTCTCAGACCCACCAAATACCAAAAAAAATCGTTGGCGCAGGCGCAGACTGCATTTGAAATTATGAATGAGTTTTCATTGGGAAAATACAGATCTTAAATGTGTTAGACAGCTTCTTATTTTTTTTTTTTTTTTTTTTTTTTTCATAAATGACCCTCGCAGTTTTTTCCCGCGCAATATTCTTTCTTTTTAAACCACATTCGAGGACTTTAAAGGTAGCACATAAGGTCTAGAAATGGTTCGGGGATGTTCACGACGATGGGAGACTCCATACGTATTGACGAAATCAACTAGTCATCCTAGTTAATCATCAAATAGAGACTCATCTTTAAATTATTAACATAAAGCTAATAACTTCAATTTTTGGCTCAAATCATGAATGTTAGCTTCTTTCAGTCCACAAAATTATTTAAGAAGACTCAACTCAATTAACTTTAACTGCATTGTTCTTTGGAGGACTTTGCAAGTATCATTTCTCCAAAGATACTGAAAATTTGGAAAATAGCCCATTCGTTTTATAAGTCAATATTCGCAGTAACGCCGCTAACTATTCTTCACACGCGATTATTAATAGACTGATGAAAACCCGAAATTGCACCATAGTCTAACTTCACAAGGATAAAGGGATAGGCACATTGCCAAGACAGATAAGACAGATGGTAAATTTGTACTTCTAACGTGGGAAAGATAATTATTCTACCAGAAAGATGTCACAAATAAAATCGAATAAAATAAAATCTCAGGTCAGAGGCTTTCGTGTTCTGATATTCTACTACCGCCCAAAAGAGAATTCATCAGTAAGCTTAGTCCGCATCTCGTGATGAAGCAAAGATCGTAGCTTTTCCGTCCTTTATCTCGATGCGTTCCGGTGGATAAACAGATACACACTTTTTGAAGATGCCCACTTCTTATGTGGCTCATTACTAAACTAGATAAGACAAATTTTTGTTACCTTTTTGACTCAAAATTGAGTGTAAATAGCTTCTTTATCACATTCCAGTTCTTTTCCTTCGTCAAGAGGGAGGAATCCTCGGTCGTTTAACTCGCAGGTTCCCTTGGTTTTGGAAACTTTTCTGAAATTGGTTAAAACGCATCGAGAGTCTCTCTGACATGGCAAACCACAGGATGCCAAGCTTGCAAGGTGAAATGTTTTAAGCTTGACGCGATGATTATGAGTTATCACAGGACAAGAAAGAGACGCTTCCTTACAAAGAAATACTTCAGATGCTACGACTTTGGGCATTAATAACACAACTAGAACAGCACACAGATAAAAATTCATTTCGTTCTGTTTTTTAGGTCGACACTTTGCCTTAGGTGCGTATAATCAGCTTTATAACAGCTTCGGGAAGATTTTAATTAATGTAAAAGGAGTTCGTAGATGTTTATTTAATATTTTTCTTTCCAAATATATTTCTTTTCTTTCCAATTATAGTCAATGGACGGGCTAATTGAAAGGATGCTCTGAGCGCGGAATAACAGAATAATTAATATTGTAATCGTTAATTAAATGTTAAAGAGAAGTATTTGTCTGAACCAAGTGTTAATTACGTCAGCCATATCTGTCTGAATAAACATTGAAATATATCATCTGATTCAAGGAATGAAAACTAAAGACTGAACAAAACTATGAATTTAACCTTTCCTTAAAATTAAAATCTAGTTTATCAGTTGTTGTCATTTAAATATTCTGGTCAACGCTAGAAGCCTCATTACCGTTGTGAAGATAATAAATTTCAAATCCACTTTATAAATTGTTATCATTCAAATGTTGTTGTGAACTATAGAAGCTTCAGTGCAGCTGTTGAAATAGTAATTGGTATCCAGAAGTTTCTCTATAATTTACTCAGCACTTATTGTCTTAGAAGAAAAACTCTCTTCGTAACTAACGCTTATTCTCATAAATAAAACACACTTTGTAGTAAACTACACATAGCCAGTTACAACTGAGTTGAGGCTTATGCGATTCTACTTCCAGTCATATCTGCAAAAATAAGCGGCTGATTTCTCTTAACTCTCGACATTTTATTGGGTGGCCGCAAATGAAAACTCTTTTCCCTCATAGCGCTATAACTTACATAATAGCCGACTATCAGGATTCACCTTCAAATCTTTCATTCTGTAAAGCATCCTACGGTTTGCAATGTCAAAGAAGTTCTCGATTTCCCTAAAGTTTCAAGTTTTAAAATAGCAACAGGGATCTGTGATATGAACGACAGAGGAACTTTGATACCTCAATAACGAAAAGAAATTCATAGGGCGAGGACGCAGTTTATAACTAATTTGAATATATAATTATGTTACAGCAACAGTCGGTATGATTGTTTTCTCACGAGGAAAAATAACAATACAAAGCCATCATTTACCTGTGGCCATGTCTTCTGCAGTTGCAAATGTTGTATGCGTGAGTTTAATCTTTATTCAATAAAAAGCAATGAGACAAAATCTAAAATTGAGTTCTCTGATAATACAACACGTGCACTCTCAAAATGGCATTAAAGTTTACGTCAGTCAAAATTGTAACCCGGCTCAGCGAATGAAAAAGTAACCAGAAATAAAATCAAAATTGCGCCGATATGCTCTTGGCGGGCAAAGCCATGCTTACAAGCCCCTTTCCTGTAGTGGAGTGGTTATCACGTCCACCTTATACACGAAGAATTGCAGGATGGAATCCTACTAGGAACACGTGTCACAATTTGATTAATGAAGAAACTATAATATCAGATTTATCCATTGCAAAAATTCCAGGACTTTCGATGACTTCGTGATGGCTTTATGTGTTTCCATAAATCTCTCAGAGCCATTTTTGCTCTAAAAAGTCGAAACCTTCAGGGTTGTAACAACTTCCTTTATTGTGCGATTAGTTCTCAACAATTCCTGAGCGTTAAATCTGACTATCTGAGTCACATTTACTTGCAAGGTTCATTTGCTTACTTTCATATTTAATTAGGGGTACATACTTTATTAAATAATTTGATCAGTTACATCTGGTAAACGCGTTTTTAACGGCATGCAAACTCGTCAGAGGTTTCTTGTCGCTTTTTCCATAATGAACACACGTGTCACTTTCCTACGATACAAGATTTATTGCTTTGTTAAAGTGGTGAAGAGAGTATGATATATTATACATTTTCACGATTGGTTTGTTTTCACAATCGGTTCTCGTTAGGCACTGAGGTTGATTAAACACGAGTCTCCAAAAGAGCACGTTCGCTCGTTCGTTTTTACAGGTGCGTCTTAATGTGCTGCTATTGGTGCATATCCCTGACATTACGAATTATAACGACTATTAAGCTAAAACGACCAATAATTAATAAGTCAGCGAATCAAGCTGCTGTTGTTCTTTGTAATCCACAAACAAATATCATTTTGGATTAGCCATAGAAGGGATTGAATTGCAGTGATGTTTCTCGCAAACAGCTGTTATTCTATATGAAAAATAAGGAAACAAAAACAGCATTAACAAACATGTAAAAGATAGTTTCTGGTCGTTTTTTCTCGATTCCCCTGCCTTCCTGACTTCCAGGGTCTGATTGATAACTCACCTTTTCGGCGTTAGATTTCACGTGCAGTGTCACGAGACTTGTGATGCTTACGATACGTAACAAACGATCATCGAATAGGCAATAATCTTCAAATGATCTATAAGCGGCGAGTCCTTGCCTGACTCGGTGGGGTTGTAAATCAAATGATTAGAAATTTCCTACGATCCAAACGGCCGCGAAGCGTTAAAATTGTTCAGTCTAAAAAAAAAAAAAAAAAACTAGATTGCGAATAAACATATCATGAATTATTAATTTGCATGGAGTAGTGGCGTCGTCTTTTCCGAAATTTGAACACACTGATAGATCCATGTTTTCGATTGTGGAGGCGATTTCCACACATAAAGTTTTGAAATTTCTGCTCACTGAAATGCCCCGTCTCTGATGATATTTTAAGGTTCTACCCTATCTATAGCCTTGAAACCGTCTCAAATTTTGGGATCTGCTATTCTAAGCTACAACTGCTCTTGAAGATTGAGCTGGATTTGGCAGGATTTCCCCTTTGCGTTACATAAAACTTTCCACGCAATACGATATTAAACGAGATTCTGTGTAGGAATCCAGGCTTGATCACGTTCTACAGCGATTCGTGGGCACTAATTTCCTATCAGACGTGGTTTCATTTAACAATCAACGCGTTTAACGCCATGAAAATACCTGAGAAGATACATCATAGTACATAGAAAGTTTTTTCTATTATTCCATGGCGCAACAGAGGGAAACTATTCACGACAAAATGCCGAAGCCGAAGTTCGGACTCGAGCCGTGGATGGTTGACTCAAAGTCTAAACTTTCGCGGTTTGTTTACATCAGAGGTCACGTGACACTACAAGTGCAATCTAACGCCGAAAAAGTGAATTCTTCCCTTCAGTTGTGACTCTTTTACTTTTAAACAAGTAAAGAGAATTTGGTTCTCTATCAAAAACAAATAATGTATTTTAGTAAAAAAGATATAGGTGTTAGGGATGTTCAAGTGTGAAGTGCGTGACCTCTATCGATGACAAACATGTGTAAAACTCAAAGGACAACTGGCCTTAAACCGGGGCTCGCTTTGGTTTCTGAGCACTGCTAGCGCTCTTAACTCTTTAACTCCCATAAGTGATTAACATGAAACTTTTCCCTAAAATATCCATACATATATCTTGCAAACAGGTGATGAGAATATTCAAACTTATCAGGTAAAAGTTGTTATCCTGATCCAACACCAAATTCTTGTACCTGATTTGCAAGGAATGTGTAGCAGCTAGACGGGAGAATTAGCATGAAGATCTTGGGAGCTAAAGGGTTAAATGTAATGTCAGTCCATTACAGCCTACTCTTACCCAACGCACACCCTCTGTCTCTCAGAATACGTTTTTCAAAAAAATCTCGGCCACTGCTACACACTTGGACCAGTAGGTTACCTTAACAAGAATAAAGCTCAATCCTCATAGCGATCGTCTCTCTCCATTCCATCGGAAGAACTCGAACATAGCGAACATAAATGAGCGGGTTAAGATCGTGGTAAACTACCGTGTCTCTGTCCTTGTTTCCTGGGAAAACCTGAGTAGAATATATTTGGGCGTAAAATTAACGAGCGTAAGTTTTTTTTTTTTTTTTACAGTACGAGTTACTCTTAACCTATAACTTTCGTGAATGCTTTTCTGTAGGTTCAGTGACAGAGAGAATATGGCCCAGCCTAGTGTAACTGCTTTGTGGCTCAGTGGAAGAGAATCAGAATGCAGAATACAAAAAGGTTCTATTCCTCATGGGGATTTTTTCTCCGCAAAAAGGTTTGTTCAATTAAGCACACTTTTTCATACCGTGTCTGATATGTCTCCGTTTCGCTTGTAAACTCTGAAAGATAGTCCATCATCGCCATATTGTAGCTTGTATTTAGTAACCCACTGACCCTGATCATGTCTCCCCTGCGTCGCTATGCCTATTACCCTTGTGGTTTGCTGAAGATCCACTTGCAGCCATTGGTTGGTGGTTTTCCCTTTAGGTACCCAGCCAGCACGTTTAAGCGGGTTTTCGGATCCTTTGAAATGTAATCTAGCATTCCGTGCGGCAAGGTTATCATTATACACGGAAGAAGCGGTGATCTGCGAGTCAAAAAATAGCACCGCTTTCCATGCCGAGGGAACTTGGGCTTTTGGTGATTCCGCACCTGAAATTGAGACAGACAAATGCAATCGCACAGACATTGATTTGTTTATCACGGAATAAAGGATGATTTTAAAAACGGTTGAATAGAAGTGTAAAAGTAAGTGTAGTTTCACCTTTCTACTTTATCTCAAGCATTATAATAAAAAAAAAGTTTGATAAAGATAAAAACTTTCGCGTGAGTTAAATCTCTCCGACTTACAAGTGATGGTCGAAGCTCTACTACAAATGAAAACTCGTACCCAAAATGGTTAAAATTTACTACGGCACCTTTGGAGTATCCAGACGTTTTTGAATTACTGGAGTCTATCTTGTCTAATTCCTGGATATGTTTAAATTGCTTCCCATATTGATAACTCAACGCTATCATGTTTTCGCGATGCATTTTGTAGGCACATCAGCATTTGAAGTTGTGAATGACGCAGGGAGGGTCCTCGGCTTCTTCAGCAGTTTCTTGTTTCCCTAATCCTTCAGCGCCCAAGATCTCATTATTAATTCTCCTTACTGTCTGCTATACAACCCTTATGATGCTAGTTCTGAGAATTTGGTACTGGATCAACTTGAAAATCCTCAAACCTATCTTTTCATTATTCTCATCACCTGTCTGATTGATATTGTATGGTTATTGTAAGGAGAAATTCTGTCTTGGTCACTCATGGGAATTAAAGGCTTGATTTCCACTTTGATTTAGAAGTAACCTAGCCAACATTCTTCTTAGCAATTTTTTTGACAGATTTCGAGGACTTTCAAGGAAACTGTAATAATCGAAATGTTTCAAGCAGGTTCGGGAAATGTTTGTGAGGGTCTGCAATGTTCGCGAGGACGACAGACTCCGCACCTATTGGCGGAGAGACAAGAGGCAGCCGGAACAAGTAACTCATTGTAATTTAAACACGAAGTCGTTGACTTTAATCTCAAGAATACCTTTCAAGCCAATGCTACTTACATTTGCAGTTGACGACTTTTAAATCTTCCTTGAAGGCCTGACAGTGGTGCTGAAAACAAAAACTCATTCATTTTTTATTTCATCGGGAAATCAATTACTCTTTCGGGTTCATCATCGTATGGAGACTGCACAAGTGAGCTAATTGAAGGCCTTTAGATACATCTTGAAAGTTTTAGCTTCAAGCTAAAATTTATACTGAATTTTGTGTACTAAATCCGTATGACCTACTTTTGGTCCACCTGAATTTATTGAAGAACTTTCAACTAAAAATATATTTAACTTTATTGAGCTTCGGAGCAGTTTGCTTATATTGACTCCAATGATATCGAGATTTAAATTCCCACTTAGGAAAAATTTCTCAATTTACCTTAAACGACAGTACAACATTTTGATTATCAGCACAGAGTGAAATGTGGTCCATTCGCCTTTAAAAGAAAAAGATGAAAAATCGCCATCTTACCCGCATACACGTCAAACTACTTTAGGACCAAACGATAAAAACCGTCATTCAAAGAAAAATATGACAGATGGAAGTTTTCACATCTGTCGTCCGTCGAAATATAAAGATTTCATGAGAAACATACCACGAATGAAAGACAAGTGTCTCGAGGAATCAATAACACCTTCTTCTTTGTCTTTTATCGAGATTTTTTTGTTACCTTCGTGTCGTAAAATTGAGTGTAAATTGCTTCTTCGTCGTATTCCAGTTCTTTTCCTTTCTCAGTAAGGAGAGCTCCTCTGTCGTTCAACTCACAGGTTCCCTCACTTTTGAAAACTTTTCTGAAATTTGTTGAAACGCATCGAGGTTCTCTCTGACATAGCAAACTACAGGATATCAGGCTTCCTGAGTGAATTGTTTTGAATGTGAAGCCTTTAAGTCGGCGATGATTGTAAGTTATCACAGGACAAGAAAGAGATGCTTCCTTACAAAGAAATGCTTGAGATGCTACGACTTCGGACATTAACAACACGATAAGTCCAGCACACAGAGTAAATTTCATTTTGATTTTCTGGTGATGACCTCGTCTACGGTATGCATACTCCTCAGCTTTAAAATTGTGTCGTAGGCGTTTTCATCAGAGGTCAACAAGGGGACGACATTGAATAATTTAAATGAAAGTTGAAGATTTTAATTATTATCAAGTTGAAGATTTTAATTATTATCTACCCAATCATAGCCGAGTCGACTGGCTAATTGAAAGGATGCACTGAAAGCTGGATTACAGTAAGATTTCAATTGTTCATTAAATGTTAAAGAAGATGACATTTCCGAGTCAAGTATTAATCTCGTCAGCCATTTCTGTCTGAATAAACAAAGATCTTATTTGATTCAGAGATTTAAAATAATAAATGAACTCTGCCGTCTGTTAAATTTTTCTTGTTTATCAGTTGTTATCATATAGATTTTCCCGTTAACTATAGACTCCTCGATGTAGTTGTTGAGATACTAATATAGTTATCTACCGTGGAAGTTTCTGAATAATTTATTAAGTACTTGACCACACTTCCCGCAGACAAATTATACTCAGTTACAACTGAGTTGAAAATACTTACTAAATTTCTGAATTATTTAGAAACTTCTAGATACCAGTTATTATGTCAACAACTACATCAAGGCATCACAAATTTGAAAGCAGATAGAACCGCATTAATTTTCCACTCATTTGTAACTGGACATATTTTGTCTGCGAGAAATGTTCTATTTGCTTTCAAATTTGTGATGTCTAAACTCTAAGCATTTCGTTTCGTTTCGTTTCCTTCGATGAAAACTATTTTGTTTCATCACGCTATAACTCGCAGCCATATGCATCACCTGATCGCCGATTATCACTTAAATGTTCTAGTCAACGATAGAAGCCTTGATGCAGTTGTTAACTGAACAAGCTTGGACAATAAAAGGTTTCGCTGTATTACAAATCAAGATTGACCTGTTTTTTTTTTAAGAAAGCTGGGCGAGAAAGCCAGCTGTGTTTGTAATATAGTAAGCCCAGGTGGTTAGTTTATGTTTTCTTTGTTTTGACCTCTCTCTGCTGAATTTTTGCGACTAAATCGCCAACATTGTGATAGGGGCCATCTTGCCCGCTTAAGTAGCCAATCAGAGAACAGGATTCGTCTCACACTGCCCACGGGCACTGCCAGCGATATGATAACAAATCTTAGCGACTTCGTCTGATCAAATAAATGATAAGGTAATTTGGTTTCATCAATTGAGTCGATAACGAAAATTTGCAACAATAAGAGTTTCAAAGCTGACGTTCGAGCGTTAGCCCCTCGTCAAAGCGAGAGACGAGAAACAATGATTATGACTACACACGGACGATGCATTGATCTGCGAGTCAGTAATAACTACACTTTCCATACCTAGGGGAACTGGGACAGAGAAACACAATCATAGATATTCACAAATTTACTATTAATGACTGCAGATGTTTTCAACATTTGAACAGAAATATCAAAATCAGTGCAGTTTAATGTTTCCATTTCGTCTCAAGGATCCTAATTAGAAAAATTCAACAGATAAGAACTCTACGTATATTAAAAGTCTCTGAACTTCAAGTGATGGTACAAGTTCTTAAATGTCATCTCGTGCCCCGGACGGTAATTAATACCGCGGCACCTTCGGAGTATCCAGAGGTTTTTGCATAGGGATTGCATTGTACAATCACTACATGTGTTTAAGGTTATCGCGTTCAAGTTTCGCAATGCGTTGGCGGAGGCTCAGACTGCATTTGAAATTATGAATGAGTTTTAATTGGGAAAATACGGATCTTCAACGTCTTAGAGAGCTTCTTATTTTCTTCTTCTTTTTTTTTTGTTCAGAAATGACCCTCCCAGTATTTTCCCGCGCATTCTTTCCTCTTTTAAACCACATTCGAGGGCTTTGAAGGTACTAGATAAGGTCCAGAAATGGTTTGGGAAGGTTCACCCCGATGGGAGACTCCGCACGTATTGACGGGAGGCCTCTCGACACAAAGACAAGAGGCAGCTGAGATGAGTAACTCCTAAGTGATGTAAGTGCAGGATCTTAGACATTAATTTGAAGACTATTTTTTGTACTCAGCCCTACTTACATTTGCGGCTGACGACTTTAAACTATTCCATGAGAACCTGACAGTCGTGCTACTCAGACATGAAAATATTCATTTTTTGTCTATCAGGAAATCAATTGGTCATCTTGGTTAATCATCAAATAGAGACTCATCTTTAAAGTATTAGCATAAAACTAAAAAAATTCAGTTTTTTTGTCTCAAATCATTAATTTTATTTTCATTCAGTCCACAAAATTATTTAAGAAGACTCGACTCAGTTAACTCTAACTGCATTGTGCTTCGGAGGACTTTGCAATTATCATTTCTCCAAAGATACCGAAAATTTGGATAATGGCCCATTTTTTTAATATTGACCCAAGTCAATATTCGCGGTAACGCCGCTAACTATTCTCAACTCGCGTTTATCAATAGACTGATGAAAACCCGACATTCCACCATAGTATAACATGATAGGATCAAGGGATAGGCACATTACCAAGACAGATGAGACAGATGGTAAGTTTGTACTTCTAACGTAGGAAAGATAATTATTTTACCAGAAAGATGTCACGAATTAAATAAAATCTCAGGTCAGAGGATTTCGTGTTCTGATATTCCACTACCGCCCAAAAGAGAATTCATCAGTAAGCTTAGTCCCCTTCTCGTGAAAGCGAAGATCGTAGCTTTTCCGTCTTCTATTTAGATGTGTTCCGGTAGATAGACACATACACACTTTTTGAAGATGCCCACTACTTGTGTGGATCATTACCTAAAATAGATAAGACATATTTTTGTTACCTTTTCCCCATATTATTGAGTGTAAATAGCCTCTTCGTCATATTCCAGTTCTTTTCCTTTCTCAAGAGGGAAGACTTCTCTGTCGTTTAACTCAGAGGTTCCCTCAGTTTTGGAAACTTTTCTGAAATTTGTCGAAAAGCATCGAGGGTTTCTCTGACATAGAGGAACATTCCAATTATAGTCAAATGAACGGGCTAATTGCAAGGATGCCCTGAGAGCTGAATAAAAGAATAATTAATATTGTAATCATTGATTAAATGTTAAAGAG